TAAGGGGTTTATTAGGTGCTTAATGCATGATGAAGGAGCCCTGGTAGCCCTGTAGGATAAGCACTGGGCTGCTTGCTACTCACAAGGTCAGCAGTTCATATCCACCAGCTGCTCCAAGGGAGAAAGATGAGGCTTTCTGCTCCCATACATATTCATGGCCTTGGAAACCCGATACAACATTGCTATGAGTCCAAATCAATTCAGTGGCAGTGTGTTTAGGTAGTAGAAATCCCTGGCAATTCTCTTGTGTTTTTTTTTATACAATTCCCTTGTTGCCAAATCCCATGTTTTATAATACAAATGTCTTCTGGTTTTATAACTATTTATAATTTGCAAAGTATTTTCTAAGACGTTTTTTATCACCCTGACAATAGTTCTGCCAGGTGTATAACTTCTGCTCATTTTAAAGGTAAGGAAACGGAGATCTCAAAAGTTGAATCAGCTCATTTAGGGTCACAATGAATCACTTGTATGTAAAGAATTATTATAATCTAGATCTTCAGTGTTGTTGTTTTTTCTCCACCACAGCCACTGTACTACACTCGGCTAATAATGTTCTTTTCAGGAGAAGAAACTGGGAATGAGAATCAGGGCCACTGGTTTGGTTAACAGAATAGTATGCAGTTACAGTCACCAGTCCCTAAGAATGATGTCCTCTCAGCACTATCCAGAGCCAACTCCATTTCCCCTCTGTGGTTGGAATTTAGATGAGCAAAGCCTACTTCTATAAGTAGCATTTTGAGTGCCCTTGGTTTAATGAACTTGAAAATGTTTTCCACAGCCAGAAAACCTTCACAGAAGTCAACCACTTTGGTCTGAAACAATGAGTCAACCTTTCCTCACTTGGGGATCTTTACAATAAAATGCCAATGCTCAGGTCCACCATCAGAGATTTTGATTGAATTGGCTTGGCATGGGGCCTTGTCTTAGTCCGGGTTTTCTAGAGAAGCAAAACCAGAGAAGTATGTGTATATATAAAGAGAAAAGTTTATTATCAAGGGAATGGCTTAAAATTACAGAGTCTCATGTCCCTGGCAGAAGAGAGTCCCTACTATCTGTCCGTTATATTGGGAGCAGGCTGCACCCCCAAGGAACCATCCCTTTAATTGATTGGCTGCTCATAGCCACTCATCATAGAATTAACCATGCCTGTATTACGGTTCATCACCATGGGAATAAGCATATCTTAATTACTAAACCTCTGGAGATCCTGGCCTTGTCAAGTTGACACAGAACCCTAACCATTACAAGCCTGGACATTTTTCAGATGCATACCAGGTGTTTCTAATGGGGCAGCCAGAGCTGAGAATCACTGCTGGTGATGTAAATAGCAAACATCAATGCTCAGCTCTCTCCAGCCATGAGCAGAAAAAGGCCCCAGCAGCAAATTATATCCTAAACTAACTTGTTAAGTGCTGTTGAGTCGGTTCCGACTCATAGCGATGCTGTACAGGGTTCCCAAGAAGTGGCTGGTGAGCGCCACACCAGGGCTATCCCTGTGTATATGCCCATCCCCTTCTCCCTCGGATCAGGGAACTGGTCAGTAGTTACAAACAAGCTTAAACATTTGTAAAATGTCTCTTTGTGCAAAGCCAACTAGCTTCTTGACAATGAGCAGAGATGGAGCAGGTTGGAGTGCCCGGGTCCCAGTCCTAGCTGTTAAAACCACAACTAACTGGAGCTTCAAGAATCAAAGTGCCTACTGAGGTTGAAAACCATACACAGGGAGACATACTATTTATCACCTCAACATTGTGATTTGTACCCACAGCCCTGCCTTGTGACAGATTTCCATATCTTTGATGAATGATGATTCATTCCCGATACGTTATTGTCTATTGGTATTAGGTGCCAACGAGTTGGTTTTGACTCATAGTGACCCTATGATGAAATACTGAAATTGTCAAGAAATTCCTTTCACTTGCATTCACATCCAAGCTAAGGAAGGTAGCAGTCAAGATCAAACAACATGCTGCAAACTATCTCTTTAAAGTGTTACATACAAGCATAGATGTCATTTAGAAGATTAAGGTGCTCCTGCCACAAGCCATGGTATGCTTAAGCTGGTCAAAGAATAAGAAAGACCAAGAATTGATGTATGTAAGTCATGGTTTGGGTGAAGAATATTGAAAATTCTATGGTCTGTCACAACAAATCTGTTTGGGGGAAGTACAGCATAAATGCTCCTAAGTAATGAGAATAGTGAGACTTCAGTTTGCCTACTTTGGGCACATCATTGTTGTTGCTTTAAAGTGTCATCGAATCAGTTACAACTCACAGCGATCCTGTATAGGGTTTCCAAGGAGCGAGTGGTGGGTTTGAACTGCCAAACTTGTGGTTCAAATTGACATTGCAGTCCAGCACATTATCCTGTAGTACCACACCAGGGCACATCATTGTTGTTGTTGTTGGTAAGTGCTATCAAGTCGGTTCCGAACCATAATGACCTAGTATAGGGTTTCCAAGGAGCAGTTGGTAAGCTTGAACCATCGACTGCGGTTCAAATGACTTTACAATCCAGCACATTAACCCACAACGACACGCCAGGACTTCACATAATTAGGAGGAACATTTCCTGGAGACCTGGATATCAAGTCATGTATCAAAAAGAAATGGTTGATGTTCAACGTTTCAAGAGAGAGCATATGATCAAGAGTCAATAGTATTGAAGGAAGAAGTCCAATGTGTACTGAAAGCCTTGGTAAAGAACAAGGCTCTGGGAATTAATGGAATACAAATTAAAATCTTTTAACAAACTGATGCTGCATTGGAGGCACTCACTCAACTATGCCAAGAAATTTGGAAGACAGCTACCTGGCCAACTGATTGGAAGAGATCCACGTTTGTGTCCATTTCAAAAAGAAGTGACCCAATTAAATGCGGAAATCATTGGACAATATCATTAGTATAACACACAAGTAAAATTTTGCTAAAGATAATTCAAAAACAACTGCAACAGTACAATGACAGGGACCTGCCAGAGGTTCAAGCCAGATTCAGATTAGGACATGGAATGAGGGATCTCACTACTGATGTCAGATGGGTCTTGGCTGAAAGCAGAGAATACCAGAAAGATGTTTACCTGTGCTTTATTGTCTATGCAAAGGCTTTTGACTGTGTGAACCATGACAAGCTATGGACAACATTGTGGAGAGTATTCTGGAACAATTAATTGTGCTCATGAGGACCTGTACGTAGACCAAGAGGTTGTTGTTAAAACAGAACAAGGGAACACTGAATGGTTTTAAATTAGGAATGGTGTGTGCCAGGGTTGTATTCTTTCACCATACTTATTCAATCTGTATGTTGAGCAAATAGTCTGAGAAACTGTATTATATGAAAAAGAATGTGACATCTGGATTGGATATAATCTTGCTTGCTGAATGCAAAGAGGACTTAAATTACTTACTGATGAAGATCAAAGACCACAGCCATCAGTATGAGTTTCACCTCAGTGTAAAGAAAACACAAATCCTCACCACTTGCCAATAAATAACATCGTAATAGAGAAAAGATTGAAGTTGTCAAAGACTTCATTTTGCTTGGATTCACTATCAATGGTCATGTAAGTAGCAGCTGAGAAATCAAACAACATATTGCATTAGGTAGACCTGCTGCAGAAGACCTCTTTAAAATGTTCAAGGGCAAAGATGTCAGTTTGAGAACTAAGGTGCTCCTGACCCAAGCCATAGTATTTTCAACAGCTTCACATGTATATGAAAGTTGGACAGTGAATAAGTAAGACTGCAGGAGAATTGATTCATTTGAGTTATGATGTTGGAGCATATTAAAAGTACCATGGATTACTAGAAGAACAAACAAATCTGTGTTGGAAGTACAGCCAGAGTGCTTCTTAGAATCCAGGATGGCCAGACTTCATCTTTCATACCTCAGACATATTATCAGGAGGGACCAGTCCGTGGAGGATAACATACTGGTAAAGTGGAGGGTCAGCAAAAAATAGGCAGATCCCTAATGAGACGGATTTACACAGTGGCAGCAGCAATGGGCTCAAGTGTAACAAAGATTGTGAGGATGGCACAGGACCAGTGTTTCCTTCTATTGTGCATAGGGTTGCTATGAGTTGGAACCGGCTTGGCACCTAACACAATTCCTAGAGAGCGACATCATGCCTAATAAAGTAGTTGTTGTGTGCCATCAAGTTGGTTTCAACTCATAGCGACCCTGTACACGATTTCCAAGGAGCAGCTGGTTGGTTTGAACCACCTACCTTGTGTGGGCTGGTGAAAAAGAATAAGTACCTCAAAAAGATGGATTTACACAGTGGCTGCAATAGTGGGCGCTAACATAACAATTATGAGGATGATGCAGTATCAGGCAACCTTCCCATCTGTTACACAGACGGGTCCTAGCCAACTCCATGTCACCTAACAAGATTCAGCGATGATGAAGCCTTGCCTGATTCACAGTGCCAGGGGTTGAGCTTGGATAATAAGGCTCACAGTGTCAGTCAGGGTCTTCATGTGTTACCGACTTCAGGGTCAAAGCCCCAACCCAGAGTTCGTCAGACGACTTCTAGCCTCGCTAAGGAGTTCTGGTAACGAAGTGGTTATGAATTGGGCTGCTAACCTCAAGGTCAGCAGTTTGAAACTACCAGCTGTTCCTCCGGAGAGCGAGATGAGGCGTTCTGCTCCCGTAAAGATTTACAGCCTCGGAAACCTTATGCAGGGTCACTATGAGTCGGAATCGACTCCACGAAACACAACCACCACAAAAACAACTAGACTGAGCGGATAAATAAAGCTTTGATCCCACCCCTGGACCAGAGGGGTGGGGTAATCTCGTTCCCGCCTCTGGACAAGAAGGATGGGGCAGACCCCACCCTCTTCCGGGTAAAAGGGGCGGGTCAGTCTAGCTCCCGCCTAGGGGAGGTAGTTGGAGGGCGAAGTAGCTGTCTCCACGGCAAGCGGTCGTCGTATGCGTCACTTCCGTGCGCCTCCTTGACGTCATTGTCAGGCGCTTACTGCGGCCTTACTTCGGTCTCCATTGGGTTTTACTAGCCATGGAGAGTGACTTTTATCTGCGTTACTACGTGGGTCACAAGGGCAAGTTCGGCCACGAGTTCCTGGAGTTTGAGTTCCGACCTGACGGTAAGAGATGCCCGCTGCGGGGACTAAGCCTGGGGGCAGGCGTGTGGGGACGTCGGTCCGAGGTATGGAAAGTGCTGAAGATTAGACAGAGATCCGTGTAGCGCAGACTGAAAGAAACGCTCTTGCGTAGCCCTACTGATCCTTTCTTTGTACAGGGCTTCTACTTAATGACTTTTGAATTGGAATGCTTTTAGTTTTGACGAGTGTTCTTGCCATTAGCTGCAGAATGGGCAAGAGCGGAAACAGGGCTACTTAATGGGCTATTTATTAGGAGACAGAGTTGTAAAGACAAAAGGGGTGTTGGTTACAACTAGGGTGAAAATGGAGAGGAGAATTAAAAATATTATTGGGAACAGAACCAATGGGTCTTTGCTGATTGATACCATTTAGGGAGAGTCTTTTGTGATGGAACGAGGAATTCAACATGACAGAAAACTCCCACTAAATGGAGATGAATCTGACAAACACTGATGGTGAGGAAGACAGGCGGGAACAGTGTACCGGTCTTCCCCGTTATCCGAACATACTCTTGTTTCTGTAAAACTTTTCATAAATGGTGTAAAGTGAAGGTGCAATTAGCATTAATTTATATGGGGGGATTTTTTGAGAGTTCCCAGGCCCCCCAGAAATAGTCTACCAAATGATACCAAAATAACATAAAATAGTGCTAATAACCGTGTTTCAGACACAATGTAAAGCTGTGGTGGCTTGAGGCTGAGTGTAGTTCCCGGAGAAAGAGGTTGGTGACACCACTCTTGGTGCTTGGCTGCACGCTGCCTCAAACGGTTACCCACAAAACAACTGCTAAACGCTGATTTTGCCTTTCTTTTTCGTAAAATCGAAAATCTTCGGATTTCTCTGTTAACAAAAACAGGTCCTAATGTAGATAAGGAGCTCTGGTTACAAATTGGGCTACTAACCTCAAGGTCGGCAGTTCGAAACTACCAGCCATTCCGTGGGAGAAAGATGAGGCCTTCTGCTCCCGTAAAGATTTACAGCCTTGGAAATCCAGTGCAGGGTCGCTATGGGTCGGAACCGACTCCACGGTACTTACCAACAACGTAGGTAGGTCTTTAAGAGTAAAGTGTCATAAAGCAAGCTCTCAAAAAGCAGGGAATACCTGTAGTAGGTACTGTGGTAGAAAGAAACAGAGGGGGCACCAAATCTAGCCTGGAGTTCAGGGAAGGCTTCCTGAATGAAGTGACTTGAGAGAGGAGGAAGATGGATCTTTAGACGTGGTAAGAACTGGCTAGAAACAAGAATGCATTTTGAGCAGCATTAACAGCAAAGGGTCTGAAAACCAAAAAAAAAAAAAAATCATGGGATGTTTCTTGGCGAAACGAAGCAAGTTAGGTTAATTCCAGCTTTGCCAGAGCAGAATATTGCAGGAGTGAGGCTTTAAAAGGCAAGTAGGGCTCCAGTTGTCGTGCTAAGAAGTTGGGAATTTTCAGGCAGGTACCTGGGAGCTACTGGTAGCATGAAAGCATGAATGTAATCTAATTAGATGGGTCTGTTACTTGGTCACTTTGTCCACTGTATGGAGAATGAATTGAAAGGGAAAAGACAAGGAAGGGAAACATGGAGACACAGTTTTAGCTTTTTTTTACACTTGTGCCTGTTTTGAAAACCCTCCTAGGGTCACTATGAATTGGACTCAACTCAGTGACTGGACTTTGTCGGATATACCTATTTGTAAGTGAGGATATTAAGCCCGTGAGGTTTGATTTGCCCAAGCTCACAGAAGAGCCTGCTTATATTATTTTAGTGCACCTGACCTGCCTTTTACATGAAATATAGTTCAGTGTCAGCTGTATATTTGGGCTGTGTGCGGCTGTTTAGCCTACAGTGAAAAACTAAAACTAGCATTATTTGAAACACTAAAAATTTAAATAGTAAATCTTTTAGATAATATGAAGAGAAAACTGGATACATTTAAGCCACACAGCTGGTAGTCTTGGTAGCTAATGATGCTTTGTTGTTATGTGCCGTGAAGTCAGTTCCGACTCATAGCGACCCTGTACAGGGTTTCCGAGGCTGTAAATCTTTATGGGAGCAGAAAGCCTCATCTTTCTCCCGCGGAACAGCTGGTAGTTTCGAACTGCTGACCCAGAGGTTCGCAGCCTGATTCGTAACCACTACACTACCAATGATGCTTTAGTCGTGTGTTTTATTGTATATTGAATTTGTTTTTTTGCTCCTTGCAGGGAAATTGAGATATGCCAACAACAGCAATTACAAAAATGATGTAATGATCAGAAAAGAGGTGAGCCTTCTGATAGCCCGTCGTTTAACTACAGTTCAGATTTTTGCTCTGTGTTGTCTTTGTTCTTTCTGAAAGTGGTATTGATACAAATCTTCCCTGATTTTGTGTTTTCTTTCACAATGCTGAACCAGTTACTAGTAATTTGGAGTCTGGCAGATCTTGGTTTGAATCCTGAATCTGTTACTTAACTAACCATATAATCTTGAGTCCGTTTTCTGGCTGAACTAGCTGACTCAGTTTCCTCATCCACAAAAACAGAAATAGTAAAATCTGCCCTCCTTGCAACTGTTTAGTGCTCTTGTAGAACAAAATATGTTATACTTCAGTGCTTGGTATATTTCCTTTGGGAAAGGGAACATGGGAAAGCAGTTAACATTCATTGAATGCTTGTTAGATAACATGTTACATATACCAAGGGGGCTTCAAAAAGGTAGTAGAAAATGGAATTAAAGTTATTGGAATTTTTTAAAGAGCATTTTGTGTACGTACAACAGGACAAAATGTTACCAAGCCTGTGTCTTCCTCATGATGTTCAAGTCCATTGCAGCTCTTGTGCCAATCCACTGAGCGTTTCCATCACCCTCATTGAACTTTGCTTCACCGAACACGATCTCCTGTAGCAATTGATCCTTCCTGGTACATGTTCAGAACAAGCAAGTCAAATAGTGTTCTGTCATGATTCATAGGCTTTTACTGGCCAATTTTTTTGCAAGTTGGTCACCTCTCTTGATCAGGGAGTTCTGCTGAATCCTGTCCACCATGGGTGAGCCTGCTAGGATTTGAAATACTGGTAGTATGGTTTCCAACTTCACAGCAACATGCAGGAAGCCACCCCAGTACAACAAACTAATAGACAGGTGGTGGTGGTGGTTGTTATGTGCTGTGGAATCAGTTCGGACTCATAGTGACCCTATACAGGGTTTCCGAGGCTGTAAATCTTCACGGGAGCAGAAAGCCTCATCTTTCTCCCGTGGAACAGCTGGTAGTTTGAACCGTTGACCGTGAGATTAGCAGCCCGATTCGTAACCACTACACTAGGTAGATATCCCCTTTACAGAGAGGAAAAATGAAAGCTCAGATATTAACTGTGGGTCTTGTTTAAACTTAACTACCACTAGTAAGAAATACAGTGAATTTTTCAATAAATCCAAACCTCTCATTGTTTCAAGTCCACATGCTCAACTCAGTTGTGATTTCTACTACACCATAAAGGTTTTTTCAGAGCTGTTCTTTTTTTTCAACCACTTTATCACATTTGAAAATGTCTCTGCACTCACTATATTTTCATAGTATTTAATTAAGCCATTCTTTAATTAAATGCTCACATATGAGCATCTTGTTTTTGTTTTTGTGGATTAGTATAGTATGCTAAATGTATTTTGAAAGACCTGGCTCTCTTTGGAAGCATGCCATCTAGTTAAAAATCACCAGGACTTGAGGCCTTCTTAGGTATTTAGTGATGACCCACATCTTGTATTTTGAGTTCAGGTGTGCTCTGGATTTGTGGCAGAGAAAGTATGAACAGGGTGTACAAAGAAGTGGTAACCACTACATGGCACTTCTGACCCTGCCCCTCTTCTCTAGCATGCTGTCCATGGTCAGCCTAAGTGTCTTCCCACAAACAGGTTCCAGAAACATGTCTCTAGGAGCATTCATTTTATCTGCCGTCTCTACCTGAGTCAGGGAATACCACTTGAATACTTAGGGATACCGTTCAAATTCTGTTTGTTAATTTGCTTTCAGGCTTATGTACACAAAAGTGTGATGGAAGAATTGAAGAGAATAATTGATGACAGTGAAATTACCAAGGAGGACGATGCTTTGTGGCCTCCTCCAGACCGAGTTGGCCGACAGGTAAGCAGTTTAGTAACTTACCTCTAGAGGTGCAGAAACTTTACAAATGGAAGATGAAATTGCAGCTCTGCACATAACATTGAGCCTACCATTTCAGACCCTTGACACTGGCAAAAATGAGCATGTGCCATTTCAAGCCCATTGTTGTTAAGTGCTATTCAGGTGGTTACAACTCACAGGAACTCCATATAGGATTTCTGAGGCTTTAAGTCTTTGTGAGCGCAGAAAGCCTCATGTTTCTCCTGTGGAGTGGCTGGTGGGCTCAAACTACCTACCTTGTTTGCAGTCCACTTACAGTGACAAAAAGTAATACCAAGTATTAAAAAGGATAAGAGAAAAAGGGAGATATACTACTAGTAGGAATAAAGTTGGTACAGCCATTTTAGGGAGTGATTTGATAATATTTGGCAGAATTAAAAATACTTAATATGCTACTTGTAGACATTTTCATAAGTGTGCTTCCATAAGGAAATACTCGCAATGCATTTAAAACAAATGAACTAAGTCTGTAGTGATCAAAATGCATAAATCTCAAACACAGTGTTGAATTAGAAATGTTAAGATAACATATAGCATGATCACTTGCATAAAAACTTCAAAATACATTACCAATACTCTAAAAACCTAAGAAAGATTATACTCCAGCTTCAAGAAGAGTGGGAGGTGAACCCAAACTTTTTATTTTTTATTGCCTTAAAATCTAATGCAAATATGACAAAACATTAATATCTTAAATCTGGGCAAAATTGAACTGGTTTTCTCTAATTTCTGTTCAGATTTTTTCATAATTAAAAATGTAAGTGAAAAAGAAGTAGAAAAAGAGAAGGAAAAAAAAAGTTAGGCCCACTAGAATGTAAATTGCACGTCAGATTTGTGTTTGTTTTGGTTGGTCTTACTCATCTTTCCCAAGCACTGAGAACAATCCCAGCACACAGTAGGTCTCCCATACGTATTTTTTGAAAGTTTATGATCCTTTTGCTATCTAAAAATTGAGACACAAGTAGCAAAGATGGGCTCAAACCCAAGCCCTGGATGGAATTTTATCTTATCCCATGTTGCCCAGATATGTGGATCCTTTGGTAATCTGAAAGCACAGTTCTGTCCATGTCACTCTCCAGGCCGGGTATTGTGAATAATGAAAACTCACACAAAACACTACTGAAATTATCCCAAATCTCAGAAATAATGGGGCCTCATGGGTACAACTTTCTCTAATAAGAGTATGAGCTTTTCAAGGACTAAAACAGAAATTATATCTACAGATAGTATCTCTGGTATTATTTGTAGATATAAATACTGTTACTACCAGGGAATCGTTTGGTGTGAACTGGGCTCCCTGTAGAGAGTTTGTGTGCTTTGGGTAGATGATAAACCCTTCTCCTGTGTGCTTGATGAAAACTGGTTCGGCAAGATTTTTTTTTTTTAATGTTTCTAGGAGCTTGAAATTGTCATTGGTGATGAACACATTTCATTCACAACCTCAAAAATTGGTTCCCTTATTGATGTTAATCAGTCCAAGTAAGTGTGCATGATCCTTATATCCAGTTATATCTGTTTTGGGGAAGACTGATGGGAAATCTTTAGCCACAGTGGGAGCATACTGGGCAGATGTGATGTAAAGTGTAAGGCAGAGATACGGCAACATTGTTCCCCTCATTAGAGAGAGACTGAAGATTCTTTGAAGCCTTGATTCTGTTGCCTTTGGTCTTTGATTTTTAACTTCATGTCCATGGGAACAATTTTTTTTTTTAAGGATTTGGGATTATATATGGCGTGATCACCTTCCTTTGGACTGCCTTTGTTCACTAAGGAATCAAGCCAATGATTCCTGCCTCATAGTACTGCTTAGTCCTACCTAAATTTTATTTAGTTTTCCTAATTCTGAAAATAGTATGTGCTCAATGTAGAAAACACAGGAAATATAGAGAAGTAGAAAGAGGGAAAGTTTCATCTTTTTATTAGTTAGACAACTACTGTTGATATCTTTTTTTTTTTTTTAACTTTTATGAATTGAGTGAAGGTTTACAGAGCAGATCAGCAGTTTTACATTCAGCAAATCATATACTTTGCTTCAATACAATGATTGCAATCCCCTCCTGAAGAATTTCTAGTCATTTTTTCTTTACAAAAAATTATTGATGCTATTTTATTTTTTTCACTTAATATAAGCATATCCACATTAAAAAAAAAAAGTTTAAATGACCTCATTGCATTTTCATGTATCATTTCTTTCTTTTTTAATATTTGAGTTAGTTACAAAATGGTATTTTCTGAAGCTTTTCACAACTTTTAAAACGTTTTTTCTTCTTGTGTTTTAGGGATCCAGAAGGCTTACGAGTGTTTTATTATCTTGTCCAGGACCTGAAGTGTTTGGTCTTCAGTCTTATTGGATTACATTTCAAGATTAAGCCAATCTAGATTGAATACTGATGTGGACATGAGGGGTGTGGGGGATAGTTGTTTTTAATTCCCATGAGCAGTACATTTTTGTGTATATCAGGGTGGTATTTTTTATAAACTATAAGTGATTGTCTTTAATAAATATGTGATAAAATCCAATTTTTATTATTTTATAAAGACTCCATGTGAATGGAATGTCCATGTGAGCTCTTCTCAACTACTTTTTAAAACTGAACGCACTAAGTATTGCCCAAAATTTTAAGCAACTCTCTCTATATAACTACCTATTTACAGGAAATAAGAAAATAAAGTGCGAGAAAGATGAGGTTTCTGCTCCAGTGAAGATGTACAACCTCAGGAACCCTGAGAGGAAACTCTATAGGATATGCTGTTAATGCTGTCTACTTGGTTCTGAAATTATAGTGACCCTGTATAGGGTTTCTGAGGAGCAACTGGTAGGTTTCAACCACTGACCTTGCAGTTAGCAGTCCAGTGCTTATCCTAGAGTGCCATACCAGGACACCCTATAGATGTAGTTTCTCCAATAAATTGCAAGGGAAGCTGAAATGGAATGGTAACATGTTACCCCAAAACTTGAGTCTGCTGCCCTGTTCCTTGTAAAAAGCAACGCCCAAAGCTCCTATGTAGTTTGAAGTGCCCTGGACAAGGGGACAAGTAAAAACAAGATTCAGTAAACATAGAAAGATAAGCAAGATGGAAGTCCAGAGAAGAAGAGGGTTCAGTTGTGAGCACATGAATAGGACGAAGGAAGGAGGCTTAGAAGCCAAATCTGGGAGAAGGAAGAAGGGAAGGTACAGGTTAGTGCAGATCGCTGCCATCCCCAAACCGACTAGGCTGCTGGACAGAATGACCGACGTGACCTGAGAAACCTCAGCGGTCAGGCAAAGACCAAATGCAGAGCTGGGTACTGGAAGCAGAAAAGTTAAGCGCCAGGAAAGATAACTGGCAAAGGTTCTAGCAAAGACTGTCTGCTCGCTGGGGTGTTCCTCAGACTAGCTTAGTGTTGGCACAAAATCGGCTTTTAGTAAATACTCAAGGAATTACCGATCTCTGGAGGCCGGTTTCAGCGGGTCTGAGAACTGGTTAATTGCAGACTCTTTACTGTCACATGTTTCATTTTACTGAATCGATAAAAACCATACAGGTAATGATTGCAGCGCATCGCAGAGCACGCCTGGTCCTTGGGGCTCCGCCCTTCTCCCGCCCCTGTCTGGCAAAAGCTAGAGGCCCGGCACCACCAGTGCGCAGGCGGCGCTCGCCTTTTACGACTGGCCGGAAAGTAGCGGCCACAGCCCGCACTAGACTGTGCTGAGCCACTATGGGGGTGAGTTGAGGTCGCACCGCTGGGGGCAGGGCGGGCGAAAATCTGGGAGCCAGGAGGGGATGAAAGGAGCGGGCTCGTGCTGAGGAACTGGGAAGCCGAGCTTATTCTGGGCGAGGCGGGGATGGGTTCGGCGCGTTTGACGCTGTGGCTCTGGCCCTCTTCTCAGAAAATCGCGCTGCAGCTCAAAGCCACGTTGGAGAACGTCACCAGCCTCCGGCCTGTGGGCGAGGACTTCCGGTGGTACCTGAAGGTGCAGCTAGAGGGGCGGGACCCTAGGACAGAGGGAAGATGGGAGGAGCTTCCGAGAGGCTGTGGGCTGCTTAGCGGTTGAGGGGCAGGGCGCGGGCTGGCTGACCCGGGAAAGGTTCCCCATCCTGGTAGTTGTGTGATTTACTGGTTGATCTCAGGATTGAGCGAGCGAGGTGCTTTCTTCCATGCCAGATAAAAATATTTCACCAAACATTAAATGCTCTTTTTTTTCTTCCTGATTATAACGTTATATATCTTAAAGAATGTATTGGTTAATCCTTACTTGACATTGTTCTGGAACTCCTCCGTTTAAATTTTCCCTCCCTTTCATAGCTTCTAAGTAGACAGGAAACAGTGCTACTTGAAGGGAACTTTTGTGATTATTTATTAATAATTTCACCTTTTGGTTTCTTGATTGTTGTTGTTATTGTTAAGTGCAGTAGAGTCGGTTCCGCCCATAGGGTTTCCAAGGAGTTGCTGGTGAGCTTGAAATGCCGACCTTGCCGTTCAACCGGCTTTGCAATCTGTCGCATTAACCCATAGCGCCACACCAGGACTCCTTAGTTTCTTGATTAGATTTCATGTACTGTGAAATCCTTTGTTTAGTGTTATACTGTGGCTCTGGTCAGCTAACCATGAGGTTGATGGTTCCCTTGGAAACCCTATATAGGGTTGCTATGAACCGACTCTATGGCACTTAACAACCACCACCCCTTCCTTACCTCTCCACCCCACTGGTAAATGTGCTACGTGTATTGGCGTTGTAAGATAAGCACTGGGCTGCGAACCACAAAGTTGATGGTTCAAACCCACCAGATGCTCCTTGAAGACCCTATTTTTTTAAAGGGCTACTATGAGTCAAAAAGGAGCTCTGGTAGCGTAGTGGTTACGAATTGGGCTGCTAACCTCAGGGTCAGCAGTTTGAAACTAACAGTGGTTCTGTGGGAGAAAGATGAGGTTTTCTGCTCCTGTAAAGATTTACAGCCTCGGAAACCTTATGCAGGGTCGCGGTGAGTTGGTACCGACTCCACAGCATATAACCACCAACCACCATGAGTCAGAGGAATCCTGGTGTGGCACTGTAGGTTGTTAATGCACCAGACTGCAAAGTCGTTTGAACTGCAAGGTCGGCATTTCAAGCTCACCAGCAGCTCCTTGGAAACCCTATGGGCGGAACGGATCCGACGGCATTAACAACGAGTCAGAACCAACTCAACAGCACTTCACAACAACAGTGGCATGACCTACAGAGGTCCTCCTCTTATCCAAGCAATTAGAGGCGCTTCACTCTCCCAGATCCCAGAATTCCTCCTAGTCTAAATCCAGCTTCCTTCAGTACTCTACAAAATCACTGTCTCCTTCAGGAAACCTTCTCTGACCAGCTTTATTTCCAAATATTTGAAGCCCAAGTTCTAGCACTTATTTGGGAAGTCAATGTTCATTAACTTCAATAATTAACTTCAAGTCAATGTTCATTAACTTCTCTCCTTGCTAGTGAAGGAGATAGAGAAATACAGTAAAAGCAGAGTGATAAATACTTAGAACCTGTGGAAACACAGAGGATGTTCCTAATCCAGCAGAGTAGATGAGGGGCCTGTCAAGGCCATTTCTGTACCACATGATCCTTGAATCCCCAGTTAAAGCTCTTCTTAGCTGGACATCAGCATGAGAAGCAGCTTGGCCTGTTCTTCACCTAAAAGAAGTTAGGTTTTGCCTTGGTTGGGGTTGGTTGTAAGGATGAGGTGAGATTGCTGACAGAATGATGGGTTATTAATAAGCCTGCTCACCTCAGTTTTCTTACATTTTCCTCTCTCTGCCAACTGAGAGCAGCTGTTTGACTAATGCTCTTTTCTCTCCTAAGATGAAATGTGGCAACTGTGGTGAGATTTCAGAGAAGTGGCAGTACATTCGGCTGATGGTAATGGCTCTTCACACTGTCGTGTGCACACACACACCAACACACTTACACTTGTAGGCCAGGGGCTCGGGGAGTCTCTCTGGACCCTGCTTTTTATGGTTTGGGGGATGACAGTCATCATTGTGAAGCAGTGAAACAACAGGCACCTTTAGGATGTGAGACAGAATTCAAAATCTAGGGAATTTGAATTTTTCTTCAGTCTCTAGCAGTCTCCCCAGGATTCCTGTCCTAGCAAGTCACTCACCTTCTGGGGGATCTTGATCTCTTCACCTGAACACTCAGTGGTGGGATTTGATCTTGGGACCCTTGCAGCTAACTGGTATGTGACCAGATGATCTGTTTGTCCCTCACCAGGACAGTGTGGCACTTAAAGGAGGTCGAGGCAGTGCCTCCATGGTCCAGAAGTGCAAGCTGTGTTCTCGGGAGAACTCCATCGGTAGGTCAGGCATGAACACTGAGCTCTGTCAGGCTGGACCCCCGTTTCTTAAGCAGACCAAAAGCAGGCTCATGCTATCTGTGGGTGTTCCAGCCTATGCAGGGTAGGCCTGTTTTCCCAGAACCACATCTGGGCACCTGAGTGGGGCCAGGGTGGAGACTCAACTTTATCTTCTCTTCTGTTGCAGAGATTTTGAGCAGTACCATCAAATCTTACAATGTAAGTTTCTTATTACAGTGGCAGGCGTGGTGGGATTTAGCCTAAACTGGGAGGCCTGGTCCTAGAGTTCTAGCTGCATCCGCGTGATCTGCTCTGGGACATTTGTTCATTTACTCACTCACTCACTCACCCAGGCGTTTATTCACCACACATTGACTGACTGTTAGCTAGGGAAAAGACTTCATAAACAGACTGTTTATGTGGGTCTCTCGGGATCTCTGAGCCAGCCTGGCTGCTTAGTTTCCGTGCTCACAGTGCTTGCCTTGTCTACTTTTTAAGGGACTCGTTAGTCATCTTTAAATCCACTGGTAGGATAGTCCTCTGAATAGTGTTCCCCTTGATATTATCTATGATATTAAGTCGTTACATTGTACTATGTCTTAGTTATCTACTGCTGCTAAAACAAAAATGCTTTAACAAACACATTTCCTCACAGTTTAGGAGACTAGCAGTCCAAATTCAGGGCCCATCTCCAGGAGAAGGCTCTCTGTTGGCTCTGGGGAGAATGTCTGTCTCTTTTCATCTTCTTTTCCTTGGTTCCTTGGCACTCATGTATTATATACAAGGGGCTTCAAAAGTTACTGGAAATTTTTCATTGTTTTTAATTCCTTTGTTCCATGAACTTTTTGAAATCCCCTCATATCTTCCCTTCCATCTGGTTGCTTAATCTGTGCTTTCATATCTTAAATGAAATTGATTTAAGGTAGACTAAACTAATAGTGGAGTCCTGGTGTGGCACTTGGGTTAATGCACTGGACTGCAAAGTCGGCGATTCAAGCACCGCAGCCGCTGAGTCGAAACTGACTTGATGGCATGTAACAACAATAGTCCAGAAGTGTAACAAAATAGCCCAAAAGGGCCTTGTACTTTGTGTCTGCTAGTTTATTTAAAGGGCATTTGTTTCATATTTATGTGATATTTAAAATGTCTCTCAACTTTGGACGTTAAAGAGAGAAATTAAACGAGGATTCACCATCGAGGAAATTGTGATCTAGCATAAGAGACAGACCATCAAACAGAAGTGCCCCACCCATGCCAGCAAATGAATGCAGTGGCTGCTAGAATGAGACTGTTGGTTGGGGTCTAGAGCCCCTGGGTCAGGAAAGGGTGACAACTCCCTCAAAGGTACCTCCTCCACTCGCAGCCTGCTTCAGGGCCTGTCAGTGAGTCCTGTGCCCTCAGCATGGCAGATGGTTAGTTAGCACAGGTCTGTGGCTCTGTGTCTTGGGACTGATGGTATGATCAGAGACTTCATACCTTAACATTCTTACTTGTGTTTTGGGTATTAACTCTATACATCGTCTATTGAACATAGCACTGAACTTCTCCTTTACTTGCAATTTCAAATTCTGACAGGAGACCTGCAGAGGTTTGACAGTTGAAGAGCCTTAGGCCCAGAGGGGAAGAGAGGCTCAGCTCAGCCTCCCAGCCAGTTGGCTGACCCCAGAGTCCACACTTAAGCACGTATGTCCATAGAAGGTCTCATGGAAACAGGAGCCCAACGCAGGCTCCTTTCAGAAATCATCCACTTAGCAGGAAGGGCAGGTGCCATGGAATCATCTTGAAGCCCTAGCTGGGGCCCTCCTCCTCAATACCCTTTTCTTCCAGGCTGAAGACAGTGAGAAGTTCAAGACAATAGTAGAGTTTGAGTGCCGGGGTCTCGAACCAGTTGATTTCCAGCCTCAGGTGCGTGTGTCTTCCTGGGGAACCTGTGTCTGGGGAGGAGCTAAAAGAAGTGAGAGCAGAACTTCGCTTCCTACTAAACCATGGACTAGGGAGTCTCTTTCCAAGATGAACAGTAACTGTCATTTATTAAGTGCCTGCTGGATGCTGGGCACCGTCCCCATCACTTTGACATGTCACCTCATTTAGTCCTCTCAGTAATCCTACGAGATTTCTCATCTGAGTTTTCAAATGAGGAAGGAACCGCAGGGTCACACAGTTGACAAACAGTGGAGGGAGCTGTAATCTGAACCGCGTCGTGCCTTCTCTAGAGTCGGTGTTTGTCCCACTTTACTAGTACAGTGTGCTTCCGGCCCAGCAGATCTGCGATGTCATCCCCATTTCATTAGAAATAAATCAAGGTCCTGTAGCACATCACAGGTAGTGGGAGGCTGTGCCCCAGCCCTCATGCCCCACGGTCTAAGGCTCTAGTGTGGAGGGATCATATGAGTTCCAAGGGAGCTGCCACGCCCTGGGAACTCAGCAGTTAGTCCAAAACAGCTGTCCACACTGGCTCTCTGTCACCCTATCCCAAAGGTGCTTCGAGAAGAGGCCATTCCTGGCCAGGCCAGTGCCTCCTTTCCTCAGGCTAACTGCTCCTTTCTGTCACCTGCAGGCTGGGTTTGCTGCCGAAGGTACGGAGTCGGGGACTGTCTTCAGTGATATTAACCTGCAGGAAAAGGTACGGGTCTTGGGGCGCTATAGGGTACTAGAGGGCAGCTGGTAGAAGTATTCTGTGGGTGAATGAAGCTCATCATTGGAAAGCTGACTGACCCTTGGAGTCGGTTGGACACATGACTGCTCTGAAAACAAGGAAGCTTTGTTCTTGGGCCTTCACGGAAAGACAGAAATTTCAATACACTATTGTGATTAAGTGCCGTTGAGTTAGTTTTGAGTCATAGTGACCCTGTAGGATAAACACCAGACTGCTAACTCTCAGGTCTGTAGTTGAAACCTACCAGCTGCTCTTCGAAACCCTGTGCATGGTTTCTCTGAGTCGAGACCAACTTGACGACACTTAACAACAGTCAGCTTTTCAAGGAGCAGTTGGTGGATTTAAACTGCCAGTCTTGCAGTTAGTAGTCCAGTGCTTACCCTATAGCACCACACGAAGATTCCTCAGTACACGTTAAGTGCCTTTGAGTCAATTCTGACTCATAGTGGCCCTGTACAGGGTTTCTGAACAGTGCTGACCCTACAGTGCCACACCTGGAGCCCAACACTTAGCACCTAGTATCTAGCATTTATTGAGCTAGGCCTGTGTACAAAAATGAGGTTCAAAGGAGTAGTGGTTTGCCCACAGTCACAAAGCTGGGAGAACTGGAGTTTAGACTTGTTCAGGATCACACGTGTTCATGAACATCAGCGGCCAGGCCTAAGCTGGAGTTCTCCCGTCGCAGGCCTCTACTCCCCACACAGACCTAGGCTACCTCGTAAGGCTAATGTTACCTTGTTGTTTCACAGGACTGGACCGACTATGATGAAAAGGCTCAGGAGTCGGTGGGAATCTACGAGGTCACACACCAGTTTGTGAAGTGCTGAGCCCTCTCTGCACTCTGCCCCTAAGAAACTGAGGAGGAAATACCCCGAGCCACTGAGATTGGTGCCCATCATCTTTGTCTCTTGGCAGCTGTCCCAAGTCCCCAAAGTCTTGCATGCTGACCTGTCGCAGCTTCCCAAGCCCCCAGTAAAGCCCCTGTTCAGGCTGTACTGGTGCAGAGGGGGAGTCAGGCAGCAGCGTAAGAATGCCCGGAAGAGGTCTCTGACTGTGTCCTGGCACCGTCTCCCAGTTTCAGATCGTGCACCTGGTCCGTTTTCTCAGACGGAGAGCAGCAGCTTAACCCAGGGGAGCGTGGGCACACCAGGCACATTGGCACCCGTGCCTGTGCAGTCTGCTGAGCCCAACAGCCCTCAGCCAAGATCTGCTTTAGCCCGGAATCCGTTATTAGCGTCACTTCAGATCCTGGGACTGAAAGGGATTTCAGAGTTCAGCAGCATATCTCTGCAAACTTCCTGCCTGATGGTCATCTGGTCTCTGCTCCCTTACTGAGGTGTGGGCACCGCTCCCATCAGTAGTCAATGTGAAAGTGCCTCCAGTGCTCACGCAGCTGCTGTGCCCACCTCAGCACTTCCTGCTAGTCATGGTTTGTCCTGGGGTCATACTTAATTATAATTTATGAAGCTGGTATAGGGCAATACAGTTATTATTACTAACTCATCAATAAAAGGTGCTGGGTCCATTGTTTAATCTTGTGGAACAAAGTAAGATTGTATCCCTACTTGACTTTGCATATCCCAAGGAGGAATGGCAGTAAGTAGAGGAGATCTGGGCTCAGTCTCTGGCAAGTGCCTCCCCGTCAGCACCTCAATTTCTCCTGGAAAATGAGAGCGGTTGCAGCTCTGGCATTAGTTAATGCGGTCAGTCAGAATGGTGGTAGCATGTCTGAGCCCTGCTCCACCTTGCCAGACCTGGGCACTTAGGGATGGCAATCTAACATCAGGTGAGAGAAATGAAACCTACTGGATGGGGAGTTGGAGAATGAAACTGGACAGGTTGGCAATACCCCCCTGCCCCTGCCTCCTGTGGACACTGAGGAGATCCTCCCTGTGCCCTTCACATGATCCCTGAAGAGCTGTTTAAACAGTACCTCCACTATCCAGCTGCATTTTCCTTACCTAAATTTGTCTAAACACCGTTTTTTTTGTGACTAACAATGAGATGAAGGCTACATTCCAGAAGTGGCCAGCCTCTTCCGCCTGGCAAGGCAGCCTTGGTGGGGTGGGGGGTTATTTCCCTGTGCCTCTCGCTGGTCAGTCCATCAGGGACTCCAGAGGCTGCTTTCCTGCCTGGCTTGCAGAAAGCTACAGGACTGCTGGCCACCATGACTTTCCTGGCACCTTCCATGCACCTGAATGTGCATCCAAGGGTTGCCCCTGCACTGAGCGCTACCAGGAGCAAGATGGATCAGACCCAAACTCTTCTCCAGGAGCAAGTGTTCAAAGGAGGTGTATAAGCCACTAACCATAACAGCTGTGCATTGGGTTACTGGAAAAGCTTTTGAGAAAGGCAAGTTCCTACTTCATTCCTCCTGAATAAAATCTCTGGAGATCAGGCCTGAGATTTCCTATTCTTGAAAGCATTCCCAGCTAAATCTGATTCATCCAGACTGCCAGGATCACAGCAGGGATGCTGCAGAGATTCAATGGGGGCAATGGCAGCAGTATATTCACAATGCCCTCGATAAATGGTTTGGTTGGAAATGCAGACTGCATTGTCTTCACTGCTCCTTAATGGCAAACACAGTTGGCCTGTGAGCAACACAGGTTTGAGCTATACCGGTCCACTTGTACATGGATTGCTTTTCAGTAATATTGGAAAAGTTTTTGGAGATTTGCAACAATTGGAAAAAATTAACATGTGAAGCATGTTGCCTAAAGATAAAAAATCAACAACAAAAAAAACCATCTTTTAAGTATGTTAATTAGATAGTAGTCTAGTTTGTCATTTGCCACCATAAGATTGTTAGGTGCTATCGAGTCAGTACCGACTCATAGCGTCTTTATGCACAGCAGAACAAAACACCGCCCCATCCTGGGCCAACCTCACCACTGTTGCCACGCTTGAGTCCATCGATGCTGCCACTTGGCCGATCCATCCCGTTAGGGGTCTTCCTTTTTTTCTCTGACCCTCCATCTTACTAAACATGATATCCTTCTCCGGTGACTGGTCCCTTCTGACAATATGTCCGAAGTATGAGAGATGAAGTTTGGCCATCTTGGTCTCCAAGGAGCACTCTGGCTGCACGTCTCCCAAAACGATCTATTGGTTCTTTTGGCAGCCCATGGCACTTTCAATATTCTCCAAGATCAATTATAAAAATTAAAATTTACCAAAACTTGTGCACACAGTGTACATTGCACCATTGTTTACATTCAGGAGAAGTGTGAACAAATGTAAAGCTGTGGCAGTAAATCATAACTGCATTAAAAACATACTGGTATTCCATTCTGTGCCGTGGAGTCAGAGGGACCCTGCAGAGGGCTTCCAAGGCTGTGAATCTTTGCAGAAGCAGAAAGCTTCACCTTTCTCCCATGGAGCAGAAGTGATCCCAAGAAGTAGAGAAAAGCCATGACATTTACAAGAAAACGTTGAGTTGATTGATCTGAAGTGCTTTATTGAGATCTGCAGCTGTGGTTGCCCACCATTTCAAGATAAATTAATCCAATATGGACCATTGTAAAAATGGGGAAATTCATGAAGGCACTGCTGCAGCTATGCTATAAGCACAAAAACCTTGCACTTTTTGCAAAATGACCTTCTCGTGGCAGTTTTTATGTGGGTGCAGGATTGCTATAAGAGGAGTTGTTAATTGCCATTGAGTCCGTTCCGACTCATAGCAACCCTGTATAGGGTTTCCAAGGAGCAGCTGGTGGATTTGAACTACCATACGTGCAGATGTGCCTATAGACTAATATGATTTGAGAAAAAGTGAAGTCATGTGACAAAGCAAAAGGAAGATGAAGGATCTAAAGCTGGAGAATTCAATATCAGCAAAGGATGGTTTGATATTTTTAGAAGTTTGACTTTAAAAAGGCCGATTTAACAGGAGAAACAGCTTCTGCTGACAAACAGTAGATGAGTTTGCGGACGCCATTAAGAAAGTCATTGAGGAGAAAGGGTATTTGAACCGTTTTTTAATGTAGATGAAAATGCCTTATTGTTGGGGGGTGAGTAGAGAGGCAGGAATGCCACATTGGACATTTATTGGCAAGGAAGAGAAGTGAGCACCAGGATTCAAGGCAGGAAGGGATAATCCATTTTGTGCAAATGCAGTGGGTTTGTGACCAGGACTGCCCTTATCTATAAAGTTTATCTCAGGCGGTCCCTGATCCAGGAAGGGGAAAGATAAACACCAGCTGCTTTGACTTCTTTTATGGCATGGGCCCTTCTAAGATACAGGTGGAGTCTTGGTGTGGCGCTGTAAGATAAGCAGTGAGCTGCTAACCCCAAGGTTGGCAGTTCAATCTCATCAGCCACTCCTCGGAAACCCTATATAGGGTCACTATGAGTACAAACTACTTGACAGCACTTAACAACGATACAGGAACTGAAGCTAGAGCAAATTCAGAAAGGAGTATTGGTATCATATGGAAACATTTTTAAAGAAATGAAAACGCCAAAAAGTTAGAAATTATGAAGTATGTCCATAAAATTACAGTTACTATGCCTGCCTCCCCTTCCATCTTCTCCACCTCTTTGCCTCTGCCACTCAAGACAGCAAGACCAACCTTTTTCTTCCTCCTCCACTTCTTCCTACTCAAAGTGAAGATGATGCATCTTGCAAACTGATGATGTAAATATATAATAGATAAAATATTGATAACTACAGTACATTTCTGTAAATGTGTTTCCTTATGACTCAGTGGCAGCAGTAATGGGTTCAAGCGTAACAATGATTGTGAGGATGGTGCAGGACCAGGCATAAGGTCGACGTGTCAGAACCGACTCAACGGCACCTAACAACAACAATGGGTTTCTTAAGATTGTCTTTGTAGCTTATTTTATTGTAAGAATATAGAGTATAATACATATAACATACAAAGTATGTGTTAATGAACTATGTTATCAGTAAGCCTATTATAATAAGCTATTTGTAGTTACGATTTGGGGAAGTCAAAAGTTGTACACAGATTTCTGGCTGTATGGGAGCCTGACACCCCTAGCCCCTGAGCTGTTCTAGAGTCATCTGTACTGTGGAAGCAGTCCAGTTGTCTGATCTGGACCCCTTTGGTACCTGCCATCTTGCCTGCTTCCTGGAGATGCCTGAGGAATCGTGCAATTTGTTTTCCAATGAAAAGATTAAAAACAATAGGTGTTTGTCCCTTCTCCCGAGCTAGGAAGCAGCAGTAGAGAACTAACCTTGCTCTTTCTGACCCAACTTCACTTCCTCAGGTAAGGCACTATTAGAGTTCCCTTTTACAAAAACAACAAAATAAACCAGTTGCTGCTGAGCTGCCTTTGACTCATGGTGGCCCCCCTCTGTGTCAGAGTAGAACTGTGCTCCACAGAATTTTCAGCAGCTGATTTTTCAGAAGTAGATTGCCAGGACTTTCATCCAAGGTGCCTCTAGGTAGACTTGAACCTCCAACCTTTCATTTAACAGCCAAACACCTAACCATTTGCACCACCAGGCCTCCCTCCTTGGTCTAGTGCTTTCCATTTAGAAAGACATGGGTTTGGAGCTAAAAGATAAAACCTAACAGGAAAAGACAAATCTCAAGTGCCATTTATAAAAGCCAGTTACAGACATACCTCAGAAATACTGTAGTTCAGTTCCAGACCACTGCAATAAAGTATTACAATAAAGTGAGTCTCACAGATTGTTTTATTTCCTGATGCATGTTAAGTGATGTTTAGACTATACTGTAGTCTACTTGTTAAGTGCCAGTGTCAGTTCCGACCCATAGCAACCTTGTAAAGGGTTTCCCAGGAGCGCTGGTGAGCTTGAACTGCTGACTTTGCAGTTCAAATGACTTTGCAGTCTGGCGCATTAACCCACAGCGTCACACCAGGACTCCTAATAGCATTATGAAAAAATGTGTCACAGAGATGCGGAGTGAGCACATGATGTTGGAAAACAATGGCACTCAACTTGTTTATGTAGCTTATGATGGGGCTCCATAAACTTAAAAAACTTTTTAAAAACTTTAAAAAATGCAGTTTCTGCAAGGCACAAGTAAGGTGAAGTGCAATTGAATAAAACTAGATATGCCCATGCCTTAGTTTACAGCAGAGCAGGGCTGATTTACAAACATTCATGTGAGGAAGACCTGTGGGCTTTGGTTCATTTTAACAAGTCAGTAAGACAAGTTGTGAATTAATGAAATCAAGACCATATCAAAAGAAATAGCAACTAAATATGGAAAAGAAACACTCGCTAGACGAGGGGCCAGGACAGGCCCTCATTCCTTCAGATTGAGCAGTCCCTTGCTGTGGTGAATGGGCCTGTTTGGTGTTCTGCACTTGAAGGAGATTACAAACGGAACTATCTAGGTCTGGAGGCTATTCCCTGTGAGGAACAGTTGTGAGAACAGGAGGGTTTATTCAGCAACACTTATCTAGGGATAGGAAGAAGCAGACATAATCTACCTTTATAAGGATGAAGGATTTGCATATAGAAAAAAGCTTCGCAAGGGAAAACTTAACACCAAGGATCGAATTCCTGGGAGACAAATTTCAGGCCAATGTAAGGGTGGTTTTTGTTGCCATAGATTCCAATTCATAGCAATCTCAAGTGTGTCAGAATGAAACTGCACTCTCTCCACAGGGTTATTAAGCTGAACGTCAAGCCTGTCTTCTGAGGTGCCTCTGGGTGGACTTAAATCACTAACCCTTTGGCTTATAGTTAAGCACTTAACCCATTGGTACCATATATGGTCCGCAGTTTATAAGGGAGACTCCTAATTTTTGTCCGGAACTGGAATGTGCTGCATTGTAAGTAGTGAGCCCCATCCGTGGAGGTTTTCAAGAATACGTTATAAGGATCTGTGCATCAGATGTGATGTAAATATGACCAGACTTAGTATATCAGGTGATTTGACGTATTCAGACAGAATTGACAAAGAATCCTAGGGTTTTTTTTTTATAACCGTCTGTAAAAGATCTCTTGTTGTTACTAAGTGTCGTCGAATCGATTCTGACCCATAGAGACTGTATAGGGTTTCCAAGGAGCAGCTGATGAGCTTGAACCACCGACCTTGTAGTTCAAACAACTTTGCAGTCTGACACATTAGCCCACAGCGCCACACCAGGACTCCAAAATCACTACTAAATACAAATACAGAAAGCTGATTTAAAAAGGCTTTGTCAAATGCTAGTTGTTGAGATAACCAAAGACTTTTTCTCTCTTTAAATATCTAAGATAGCAATATTTAAACAGTAACAGCTGAAGAGAAAATGAATCTGGAGTGCATTTTATTCAACTAGTGGTGTGGTACTGTGGGAGAAAGCACTGGACCACAAGGTCGGTTTGAACCACAAGGTTGGCAGCTCAGACTGCCTTTAAAGGATCAAGATGAGTTGGAGCCGACTTGATGGTACTTAACATTAGGTGACTTGAGGCTATGGTCAGTTTGTTTCCACTCTTCTGATTCTCTTGGTGTTAGTGTGGGAACAGGCCACTTCAAAGCGCATGTTCCGTATTTAACTATAAGCTCTGTTCACTCTCTACTGTCTAGCTGGGGAGCTCTAATGACAGTGAGAGACACCATACCGCTTATGTGCACACTGATGAATAGCAGGGACATGAGATAGTCCTCACCCCCAGGATGCTCAGCAGTCAAAACACAGGTGTTTACTGAGCCCCTATTTGTTCCCTCCAGTTGCTCAGTTAGCAATTGAGACAGTTGCAGAAACTGTTAAAGTGCTGTGATAAAGTTAATTCTGACTATTTTGGCCATACATAAGAGGGCTACTAATTCTGTTTTGGAGGAGTAGGCTCAGGGACTATTTCCTTAAAAAGGTAAAATGTTGAGCAGAAGCTATCCAAAAAGATGGAGCGGTTATTCTCCAAATAGAGGCAACCATAAATGGCCTGGCATCCCTGTGGAAGACCCCAGCAGAGCCAGCTCCCTTAGGGTCTCAACTGTCACGTTGAGGGTTCTGGACTTCTTACCAAGGGTACTAGAAAAACACTGAGGGATTCTAAGCAGTGATGCGATCAGATCGTCCAGAGAAGGAACGTGAGAATGGACTGGAAGGAGGGAGTCAAGTGTAGAGGCCGGATGGCCAGTCAGGGGTGGAGACAGACCGCGCTTAATGGAGAAGCTACAAAGTCTCCTTCCAAAAGTGCGGGTATGGGTACTGGGAGGGAAACAATGCTGCCTCATTATGGCCCCTTGCTGCTTCCACAGAGGTTAAGGCTAGGAGAGCAGGAGGATGGAGAGACCCTATTAAGCCTTCATGAGAGACTGCATACATTGCTGGTGGGAATGGCACACAAAATGTGAACTACAGACTTACTGTATGATTCAGCAATTCCACTCTTAGGTATGTGTTGTTAAGTACCACTGAGTGGGTTCTGACACATAGCAACCCTGTGTATGGATTCTGAGGGTTCACTGTCCAGTGTTGATCCTACAGCACCACACCAGCAGTCCCCCTAGGTATATTATATGAGGGGGCTTCAAAAAGTTAATGGAAAAATAGAATTAAAGGTTAATGGAATTTTCCACAAGCTTTTTGAAACTCCCTGATATGTCTAGGAGAAATGAAAACATGTCCATGTGCAAGTTTCCTCTGCAATGGAAAGTTGAATGTTCCTATGAAACACTTCGTTCAACTGACATCGTGTAAAAACAATGAAATAGTTGTCATTCATATACATGGGGGGGGGGGGAAGGGGAAACATTTGAGCATTCCTAGATCCAAAAAATCACCTACCAAATCATGCCAGATAACCCATAAAAACCTAAAATAAGACAAATACAGAGTGGTCCCAGACACAGTTCAAAGCTTTGGCAGCTTAGATGCTGAGTGCAGCTCCCAGGGAAGGAGCCTGGCGACACCACTCTTGCTGTTTGGGATGTGCACTGCCTCATTAAGGGCTTCCTGCAAAAGGCTGAAACTCTTACCTACGCTTTTCATCTTTTTTTCATAAAAGCAAAAATTTTCTTTGGATTTCTTTCAGGTACTACGGTACAAAAACAGATACTAATGTAGGTCTTTCATAAAAGCAAAGTGGCACAAAGTGAACTTTTGAAAAGTGGGGGATACTTGTAAATGTTCATCAGTTGCCAAAAGGTGGAAAGAACCCAGGTGATGGATGAACAAATGAAAAGTGATCTATCCATATGATGGAATATTCTTCAACAGTGAAATGAAATTCTGATACATGCTATGACATGAATGGATAGTCAGCTAAGTAGACAGGCAGGATATATGTTTCTATGGATAGGAATTCCATGAGATAATGTACTGAAAGTGCTTTGTGACTGATTCATAGTAAATACTCAATTAATATTAGCATTTACTTTTATTTGTGTTGTTGTATAGGAAGGAGCCAAGGCTACTACCCCAAAGGTCAGCAGCGGTTTGAATCCACCAGCTGCTTCATGGGAAAAAGATGTGACTGTCTGCTTTCTTTACGGATTTACAGCCTTGGAAACCTTATGGGGCAGTTCTGCTCTGTCCTGTAGGCTTGCTATGAATCAGAATTGACTCAGTGGTAGTAGGCTTGTTATATAAGGGCTCTAAGGAGCCCTAGTGGTGAAATGGTTAAAGTGCTTAGCTGCTAATTGCAAGGCTGATTGTTCAAACTCATCAGCTGCTCTGAGGGAAACAGATCTGACAATCTGCTCCCACCATGAAACTGCCTCTGAAGCCCTGTGGAGCCATTATCCTCTGTTTTATAGGGTCACTATGAGTCAAGAGTGTTTCAGTAACACACAACAACACAGGGGCTCTAGCTGAAAAAACGAGGCAGCAGGATACAGTGCTGAGGTCCCTGGAGTGGAAGTCACAAGGCCAGACTCCCACCCCAGCTGTACTACTAACTCCCAGGGCCAGCTGTTGGGCAAGCAAGCTTCCCTTTCATGTCCTAGTAGTGTGCTGACAATAAATTGGTGAAAATAGTTTAGGTTCATTGCAGTCTCCTCCACTACAAAATCTAAAGAGCAATCAATATCTTCTGGCTTAGACAGGCCAAAATTAGCACAAAAGATTCAGCTGGTTGAAGTAAAATCATTTATAAATCCAGGGAAACGGCCTTGATTGCAGTAAAACTGAGTCAAACAGCAGTATTCGTTTAACTCCTAAGATAATCAAGAGATGCTTCAAGAAAGAGGAGCAGGTTTTAGAGACCATGCTACCATTTTCCACTAGTCACTTGAAGAGCCAGGCGCAAACGGAAACGGCAAGATACCTGAACTTAGTTATGGAAAGTTCTGAAACTGTGGCTTTAAAAAATGAAAGAAGAGCCATCTCAAACAATAATTAACTTTTATTTTTGCTTAAACAATAAATACACCTGAGTTAATGTTTTTCAAAAGTCACCTTCTCTGATCAAATGCCCTAAAACTGAGATCTTTAGTTTTGATCTGCTGCTCAGAGTTAGGCCTCGCAGCATGGTCTGCTCAGGTGTTTCATGATTAGGTTCAGTACTCTCATGATAGCACCTATTGTCTACACAGGCCCTTGTTTTCATAAGGAAGTCTCAACCTACCCAGATGCTGTTTTGATTGATTTACCTTCTAAAGCATCAAACATGTCGTTTAAAGACTTCTCCACACATTGGAGAAACTCGCGGGCATTCCGGCCTGAGTAGGCAGAGACGTTGCAACCTATCCAGTTGTCGTGAACTGCATACCCAATGCCAAAGCCATCAGGGACCACGGGGGCAAAGCCACCCAGGTTCACTGCTGAGCTGCTGAGCGTGCTCGTGGACAAGATGTTGTGGTTTATCTTTCCATATGCAGGGTCCAGGTATAGCTCAGGCAGGGGCATCCCTTTGGCAGCTGCCAGGTATCGCAGAGCAAACAAGTGTCGGTCAAAGCCCTGGCCTGTCAGAGACAAAATGGGAAACCAGAGTCTTAGATCTAGAACTCAAAGAGACGTTAGTAAAACCTCCCATTCATAGCAGGAATCTGCTCCGCAGCATCCTGGAGAATGGAGGAATAGTCTTTCTACCTCCAGCTCACTAACTCCTGGAGCAGTGCATTCTAGACAATAAGGGGACTTCAAAGAGTTGGTGGGAAAATGGAACTGAAAGTTGATGGAGTTTTTTACATGAACTTTAGAAACCCTCTCATATTTCCTCAAAAAGAAAAGAAAAAAAGTCACCAAGAGCTGAGCTAAACACACGCCTAAAATGAAAGCGTTATTTAAAAATTAGTTAATTAAATCAATTTTATCAGGCAGTCAAGAAAGGTATGGGAAGTATTTTCCCTCCCCAGCTATCTTGGCAGATGCTCTTGGTTGGAGGCTTTCATAAACCTAAGGTAGGAAGATGGTGGCTGCAAAGACAGAAAAGTTGCTGTAGTAGATCAACTCTAGGCTCCAACTTGTGACAAAAAATGGAAAATCTGTGCTGGAGCACAAGCAGACTTAGAAGATGATCAAACAAAGCAAAGAAACTGCCTGGCTTGAGGGGCTCCCCAAGAGTACTATGCCATGCTGGCCCACACTGGTGGCCCATCACAACAGTGGCAATAGTAACGAGTTGGGCACAATGTGCAGGAAATACTACAAAGTCTACCCATAGTCCACCACTCGTCTGTCAGTTTGTCGTACTCTGGTGGCTTGTGAGTTGCTGTGATTCTGGAAGCTATGCCACTGGTATTTTAAATACAAGCAGGATCACCCATGGTGGGCAGATTTCAGATAAGCTTCCAGATGAAGAAAGACTAGG